GCTCCCGCGAGTGTGCAGGCATCAGCCCCGGTGACTTGTTGCTCTGTATTTCCCAGCCAGCTCCATCTCTTGCTCTCTGCCACCTCGACTCCTGCAGCACGGGCCCCCGGTGTCCCTTCTGCAGCGAGACTGAGACTAACCAGCTGCTGGTTGTCTCAGATGTGACCTGTCCTGAGAGCTGTCTCCCCTGGCCACCCGTGAGATCCACCTTTGTCTCACTGGTTTCCTGGCACGGATGCGAGTTGAGAAGTCTCTGCTGCTTCTTGCAGTGCTTGGCTGTTTGTTCTCCATCCTCCCTTTAGCCTCTCCTGGGTAAGCCCAGGTCTTTTACTTGCCATGCCTTGTTCTTCCCTCAGCAGACTGTTTCCCTCACTCAGGTACCCCTTGGACCTCCTCCCTCAGCAGGACGATCAGGGCATTTTGCCTTCCCGCTGCCTTTGTGGGTTACTGGGGCTTTGGTGCTCCTCTGTGCTCCCAGGCCTCTGTGCTGAGTCAAAAGCCCAGTGTGAGCTCACTTTTGTTGTGAAAGTCTCCTCGGGACAGAACTGCCCTGGCCAAAACGAGCTGTCTGTGTGACCACATCTTCCCAGTCTATGGGGAAATGAACTGCGTTGTGCTTGATCTCCCTCCATGGCTCCTCCATGGCTAAACCAAACATGTCCCCCCGCAGGACCCAGATTAACTGTCCCAGACAGTGGCCATTTCTGATCATGAGAAATCATCTCTCTAAGACTTGCGCTGTTGTGACTGGCTCATAGGATGGATGGAAATACGTCTTGCTACCGCCACTGCCTATTAGCTGTCTCTTAGTGCTGTGCTTGCTCTGGAGCCATGAAGGATGCTTTTCCTTCGGGACGAGGACCCACTGAGGGCCTGACTCTGTGGGCTGCTCTGCCCAGAGCCAAGAGGATGTCAGGCCAAATGCGCCTACCTTCTCCTTTACCTAATATTTCTCCTGACTGTACCAGCTAAGGCCCTTGGAGGTGGACGATAGGGTTTGCTTTACCAACCATCTCAGATGAAAGCCAGGATGGTTGCTGTGGGCTTTTAACACGATTAAGGAAGAGAAAGATGATTTGTGTCAACAGGAGGCATCAAAAGCTATCTATGGTGCAGTTTGCACTAGCATCCTATCTGTGGCCCTGGCCAGAAGCAATTGTCCAGGGAAGAGTAAGAGAGCACAATCTGTGCAACACTTCCTAAAATGGCACTTCCCTAGCATCCAACCTCCTGCACTACAGGGGCTTCCTGAGCCAGGTGTTGTTTCTGTATATTTAGTAATCTTCGACCAATTCCTCTTCTGTGACCTTATCAAGTCTCCCCTGGAGTCCACCAGAAAGGAGATGAACTTGGCATCAGCCGCAACCTGGGGCAAGGTGTTCTACAGGTCTCGTATCTGTAGAAGAACCGTGTCAAGAAGAAACGCCTCCTTTAGTCTGTTTTGCTGACATCACATGAATTACACCCTGAAGTCACTATTCTGTTCCTGGGCTCCATGAGTATCTCCATCATGCAGGTGCCTATGTCTATTTTAGGGCCTTTCTCTGTATCACGACGTTTCAAACTTGCTTCCAGCTGTTGTCACACTTCTCGAGAGGGGGAGAGGCATGTAGGGAATCTGGTGGTAAACAGCAGCAAAGCTTGGAGTTTGGTTTGTTACTGCAGCAGCAACAAAGAGCACGACCCCCCACATAGAGGTCCTCAACGCCCCCAGCTCCCCACACCTCTCCTGAGAGCATGTTTCTTCCTGAGCTGTAGAGGTCTCCACCGAGATCCGGGCTGTGGCCTGAGACCCTCTCTTGGGTTATTGATGTAGTAACTGCACGTGCAGTCAGGGACAGGGTGAAGTTTCATGCTGTTCCCTATGAACGTAACAGAGAGCTCTTGTGTGCTTGCCCACACGGGGGTCTTCGGGATGTCACAACACCCATTCTTGATCCAGGTCTCCCTGATCCTGGTTGAATAACTTTGTCACCTATGACACCCAGTTCTCCTCACCATGCTTACCATGTCCATAGTAAGATTGATGGACTTTGTGAAGAGCAAAGCAATGGATCTATCCTATTCTTTGCCCACTGCCTCCTTGTTGGTTTTTCAAAGTCACAGTATTTTGCTTCATGGCAGCTTCACTTCCCGTTCAAAGGCCTCTGACAGTGCCCGTACACTCTCCCACCAAATGGGGGGGTTCCCCTGCCTCCATTACTTCCTTGATGGAGACATACTAGGTGACTAACAGACCAATATACCAATTTTCT